GTGTGTGTGTGTGTGTGTGTGTGTGTGTGTGTGTGTGTGTGTGTGTGTGTGTGTGTGTGTGTGTGTGTGTGTATGTGTGTGTGTGTGTGTGTGTGTGTGTGTACGGAGAGAGAGACAGAGGAGGTGAGAAGAGAAGAAAAGATAAAGAGCAAAGAGAAACGAGAAAAGGGGGAGAGAAAAAGAGTTGAGAGACGGGAAAAGGAAGAGATGAGGAGAATCACTTAATTACGCAGAGACTTACCTACGAGATATAACATGCCCGTATTTACGGAACCAACCCATGCCGTCACCGATCTGTTCGCGCCAAACGCGTTCATCCATGAGACGTAGTAGGCGCTGAGCACGAACGAGAATCCAAGCGTGAGAATCTGATTTAGCATAGCAGCAAACAGCACCAGCCAAGCCCAACCCTGGTCTGTCTGAAAGCGTCGAGTCGCCATGACGATCGATGTGTGGTGTGAGCGAATCTATAGTACAGCGAAAGCTCACTCCTCACTGGGTGGACACAGTGCAAGCCGACGCGCTATGCCGGCCGGTTAGACTGGTGAAGCATCGCCGAGGAGCTATATGCTGCTCCAATCTATCGCGGGCGAGTCGGAACTACGGCCGCACGCCGACGGCTCCAAGTAGTGGCTCGCACATAGCATCGTCTTTCTGTTTGCCATGCGTGTACGCGGCCCGTCGCAGATACGCGCCAGCCAAACTCGGTCAAGGTCGACAAAAATGCTCGCAGCTTTTGGCTTTGCGGTAAAGAGTCCCACGCAGATTAGCTCTAGTAGGCCCGTGTACTGCGGCAACTGTACGCGGGCTATAGTACTAGAGCTACATGCAGCTATATACCTTGCACCTGTGACAATTTCTATGCATCACGCTTTACCCGTTGACACGGCTATCGCAGCTACCTGATCACCTCACAGCCTCCGACGGCATCCAATTGTAGACGTATAGTAGTGGGAGACCTAGAATCTAATGAAGGCGATCGATAAGTACGAGGGATGAGTAAAAGTGAAACAAATATAATATGATGCTGGCTGTGTGCTAATAACGCCGTTGCAGCACAGGCGGTGGTGGTCGCATAGCCAACAGCACACGCACACGCGCCCGCACACACACGTGTACACTCTCTCTTTCTCTCTTTCTTTCTTTCTTTCTTTCTTTCTTTCTTTCTTTCTTTCTTACCACCACATGACGTGCACTCGCGCGTGGCCCTAATTTCAATCTACACTTATTCGGAAAGCAGACATTAGATGAAGGCAATTTAATTCGTACACATTCGATATCAACCGAAAGATATGCGGAGATATGAGGGGTGAAAGTCGGCATCACGATTACCGCAATCGTCACATGCGTATCATAATTATTGTAAGCGGGCAAATCCCACACGCCACGGAAAGCGATGGCGATGCGGGGAAACGCAATCTTGGCGCCGCAGTGTCGGAAGAGATGTCACAACAGGCTGTATGTAGTAGAACTTTTCTTTCGGTAGTGCACTGAGACTTTATGTATTGCATTAGAGGTTTAGTAAAACCCTAGTGAACGTTCTTGTCTTGTCTTATGTCTCTATCAGTCCATTACAGACCTTCTACTACGGTAGTGCAAATCGCACGCCTACAATATGATTCATTCTTCACTGTCATATGGGACTAGTGGTGGCTAAGAGGTTGCTATTTTGCTGCGCATTATTATTCGCTTCGCCCTATATGCTACACAAATTAAACTGCCGATTGCCATAAAACATATGCCATATGACGGGATGTCATATGCCTGAGATGCCATGCGCCAGCTGCTGGTCCATAAAAAATGTAAAGGATGTAAAGGATGTAAAGGATCTAAAGGATGTAAAATATATAGATTTCCGCGCAAATCCGAAACGAGAAAAACGGTGGTGCATGAACAAAGGAATTAAGACGTGATGGATATTGCGCGCGTGCGCGCGTGTGCGCGAACACGCATGCGTACATGCATACATGCCTATGGTGAAGAGACAGTTATCATATTAATGTTAATAGGGCATATATAGTCGTGTTATGTTTACCAGCACGCAGCTCCTAATTCTACGCGGTACAGTACGTTGTCAGGCAGCTATATATCCACCAGGAGTAGATAATAGGGAATTCCCTATTATCTACTCCTGATATTCACCCTAAAGCCCGCCGCACACGGTGGACTATATCTGCTGAGCCAACGGCCTCAAGAGGCCGTTGGCTCAGCAGATAGCTCAGCGTGTGCGCGCAGATTCTGCACGATTTTTGGC